CTCCTAGTACTCCATGTTGCCATCACCTGGGAGGAAATGGTATTTGTAGTTGTATTTTCACCTCCGAACAACAGATCTCCAAATAAAACTGGTAGATTTTATCATCTGCCTTGAAACAAATGAGACAGAGGACAATCCTGTATGATACATCTGTTGGAATGTCTCATCTTCCTGCTACTCTGGGCCACTAGATTAACCTGTGCTGCTGTGGGAGGTAATTTGTCTTGCCTCTCATAAAGAAAGCAAACAAACAAGGAAAGTAGGGTCAGTAATACCCAACACCTCTCTCTTGCCCTAATTAATTTCTCAAAATGTCCATGGGCCTTGCCATAAAAATCTTATCTAGGTCTAATATTAGTTCCAAAATGTAATAACAAAAAGGTCATAAGATTGTTATGACAATTTTTCCCGTAACAACGAATCTATCATGACTTGGTACTTCTCATAGATCATTTCGTCTTGCTTTGTGGAGGCAAAACAAGAATAGAATAGAATAGAATAGAATAGAATAGAATAGAATAGAATAGAATAGAAGAATAGAATAGAATAGAATAGAAGAAAGAATAGAATTCTAGTATTAGAATTCACAAAGATTTATAATGTTTTATGACAATGCAATACCACACAATAGAAATACATTAGACACTTTAAAGATATACACAGCTTGAGTCATGTGGATGGCTGAGAGATGGGCCTCTAGGGCCCTTCTCCTAATGAACGTGAGATGTTGTGCTCAAGTTGGAAAAAAATGTATCACCTGTTTGTGAAAGATCCTGTTCAGCTGCTACCCTGACAACAAAACCAAGCACATTGGTAACCTAAGGGACTACAGAGATATCTACTATTGTGCGACACAGAAAGGAATTGTAAACTTACTAAACATAGAGTGGGTACAGAGAACTTTTTCTTTCTGAAGTGTAGGTTCAGGTGAAAATCCAGCTCATTGAAAAAAAAATGTGACATTTTTATCACATACACAATAATTTCTGAGAATAAGTGAAAAGGTCAGGAGAGGAAAAACTCAGAAAGACATGAAAATAGAAGTACAGGTGCCTGCACAGTAATTCTGAGGTAATCATTCAAAGCTTTCCAGCTTCACACTAAACAGAGCCAGTTTGTTTGGAGAACCGGTTATTTCAAATAGGGATTTGGGACTGAGACTGCAGCGTCTGGGCGTATACCACATCTCTCCAAGTCAAATTTGCTGACATATGTTTAGTCTACAATCGCAAGTACTTCTATTGACATGATTGTGCTGGATCAAAAAGAGGAATATTTAGAGAAAACACAAGAATTATGAGCAGTGCAAGTCTGTGTGAAATCTTGAGCACTGGTCTACCACTCTCTTCCTTCTCTCTCATCCCTTTCTTTCCTTTTTCTTTCAGAATCTTACATTTTTGGAGTAGTCTTTATTTCTACTTATGCAGACAGACAAATCCTGCCTGAAAATATAAAATAATTTAATTATGTCGAGTAACTATTTAAAATGCAGATAAAAATAATTCTGCCGCATTGGGCAAAGTCCAGGGGGTTCATGAATCATTGCTCTTAGAAAGCCTTTGGCACTCAGGGGATACGTTTTTGTGCAGCCGTTCACACCGGGAGATCAGCATTCCTCATGTACAAGACGTGTTTGTTCTCCTAGGTTAGAAAAGTGCTATTTAAGAGGACCCCCAAATGAGGTGAAACATCCTTGAGTTCTTTACTCTTTGGGATGTCTCTCAACTGTTTCATAGCTAATTAATGTACAAAGCAAACCTGCAACACTGCTAGTACTCTTCCATCATTCTACCTGAATTATAAACACATTAAAACTTTATGTGACGTCATCAATACATGACTGAAAACAAATCAAGGAGTCAGTGTTTAAAGTACTTGGGATTGACGGATGGACTAGGCTTCCCCAACCCCAGTCTTTTAAAATGCATGCTCCAGGATGGAAGGTATAACTTAGTAGTAGAGCACTTTGCTAGCATGGGTGAGGCCCTGGATTAAATCCTCAGCACCACAAAATACATACAAAAATTAAGTCGCACCCTAGAATTTTGGGTACATTCTGACCTACAGCTTATATAATGGAATCATGAGGAGAAAGAAAAGGATATTTAAAAGAATAGGATTGTCAGATAAAATACATAACTTAAAGTTAAGATCATCTTTGAAAAATCTTGATTTTTACATAATCAGTGGCAACTTTTCATAAGCATGTTATAATAACATGCTTTTTTCTTGTAGTAAGAAGGTATCTAAATCAGGTGCACACATATAGAAAAGATACTTTTCACTTCTCAACTGATAGGCTGTGACTCTCAGAGAGGATGAGCTGAAAGGATTCCAGATAGCAACTAATCATAAGCCAATGAAAATTAGCTAATACACCACCTTGTCACATGTATAATTTATTGATATGTGTTGCTTCTTATAAACTAAGAATGGAAAGGCTAACAGCTGCAAAACTAAGAAAAGCAGCTGATTTTCAGCCTAGGCATGTCTTTCAAATTCATCAAACTCTAATTTTTTCATGTATTTCTAAGTTACCCTAATCATTTAAATGATACTACTACTCAGTAACCAGTGCTAGAAATAGTAAATATGATTTATTCCTGGGGACTCAGAGTAGACTATTTGCATCTAGTCAACAAATATATCGATGATTCTTTCTAAATTATTCCTAAACCCATTCCTTTTATCTTATTTCCTCTTACCTGCACCATGAAGAGTCTTCCAATCTCTAGGATTCCATTCTTTTTTTTTCATCTATCAAATATAGTTACTGTCATACTAATAATTAAAAATTGATCATATCAGTTTTCTGTTTAAAAATCATCATTGCTTTCCCTCTGCATATGAGATTAAACCAAAAAGTACTTTTTGAAACTGTTCCTAGCCTTACTTTCTTGCTGTTTACTTCCATCCACCTATCCAAGACCCTAGACCTTGGGTAGATGGCTATGCTCCAATGGCACCTTCATTGTAAGAGCCTTACTGAACTAGAGTGACTCCATGTTGACCAGCAAATGACCCAGAGACTGTTGCCCACTCCCCTATAGGATAAGTAATGATTAATTGGGAATTACTAGGTAGCTGCTTGGGAGTAGCTGGGAAACTAGAGAAAAATTGTAACAAACATAGAGACCCAAAGTAAATCATTCCACTCCTTGTTTGTTCACAACTGAATGTTCTGAACACCACAAACTACACAGCAATGGGTAATCGATCTGCTGACCATTAGTACCTAACGGTCGAGTACATGATTGATGACCACCAGCTTGGATCAACTGACCACTTGCCTTTGTCCCCTTCCTGTAAGTTTCGAGTGTTAACTCCCCGTAGCCCTTTATAAAATAGCCTCTGACTCCGAGCTAGTTGCCTCTCTGAGCTACTTGGTTCCGGGAGTGCCATTTGGCCAGACTAATAAAGATCTATTTGCCAACTAGCCTGGTGTGTTCTTTCCTGGGTGACTCTCGCTGTCCGACAAGTTCCTGGAACCTTGCCAAGCTTCAGGGCTCAGCATCATGGAGGCCTTTTAGCTGTTCATGGTCCACTGAGTGAAAGTAAAATTTTAAATCTTACATTCATGACCATCCTTCAAGAACCAATGTAAGAATTCTTTTACTGACAGCCACCTTAGTTAAACCTCCAAGGCAGTTACTGTCATCACAACTGGACATACTTATTTCCCCTTAAACGATGAACATATTGCATTTCCAATATTTAACCAATATGGCAGAGTAGTAAGTACTACTTACAGAGAGTCAGTAAATATGATTCATTTATTTCATTTTTCCATTTCATTTTCCTGAAAGAAGGGAACATAAGATACAAGGAAGAGTTCAAAACAAAAGATAATAATTTTAAAAAGGAAAAAGTCTCAAAGTTATGTAATGAGCTGTTTACTTTGCTGTATTCTCTACATGAATCTCATTTTATTCATTACAGTTTCTGTATTTAACCAAATGTTTCACAAAACTGAGTGCTTTCTCATCATACTACAGTTTAGTAGTAGTGATTATTTTCAATAGTCTGAGAACATTAAAATACTGTTAACTCTACAAATTAGAACATTGTCAGTATATTTTAAATTGGGGAAAAATTTTACTAAAAATTCTAAGTAGACAGAGGAGGCAGTGTATTACGGAGCCTAGAGTTGCAGTGTATATAGAAATATTGCACATAAACATAGTTTGTCTAAAGCCTTTTTACGCTTGTTTTGTAAATTTCACTAAATTTACTGTGCTATGAACTAAAGTATCACTGGACACCAAACATCATTTACAAAATAAGAAGTTTTGATAGGCACATTTTGGTGTAGCAGGCATATTCTATTTTTTCCCCTTCTAGGTAAAATGTATAAGTAATTTGAACTTTTTACATAATCAGAGAGATTTTCAGACAGGCTAGTAAAGATGTCCACCCAAATGCCCCATAGATATATCATTTTGACTCTCTCTCTCTCTCTCTCTCTCTCTCTCTCTCTGGTACTGGGGATCGAACTTGAGACCTTGTACTTGCACAGCAGGCAGTGGCACCACTGAGCTAATTCCTCAGCCCTGTCATTTTCCTTCTTGTTTGGACCTTCCCTAGGGAACAACTTTCTCCATGTGTGTACATCCCCATCACTTGGTCCTCATGAAACGAACCATTCCTGCACATACCTCAGTTGTATAAAGCAAAGCAATCAGAGTTCAAAAGTCCATTCCTTCATCTCTGCTAAATTCCAGGACTCAGACATGTAACATGAAGGAAAGTTTTGATTTGTAGGAGCAGAATCACTGGACATACAAATGTGCTTTACAATTCAATAATAAAATTATTAAAATGATAGTTACTTCCTGTTAATTATTTAACTGGGCTCACCTTTATCTGGTACAACAAACTGAACTCCTAGGAACTTGTCCATAAATAAAGAGGGAGCATTATATTTTATTAGGGCGCTTTCAACTTCAAGAAATCATCCAAGTCCAAGTTTCTAAACATATTTTCTGTCAGTTTTCTTCCAGGTGCCTGCTTAGTTATTAAGGGAGGAGTAAAAAATTATTTGTGGCTCAAAAAGAACTTTCTAAGTATATACGTTACTCCGTACAAATGGATATTGAAAGATGGCTTTAGCTGGAAGTGAGAACCAAGAATTTCCAGGTAAATCCTATTTAGATGGTGAATTTTATTATGACTACATTTCAAAAATATCTAGAAAAGCTTATTTTGAAAGCAAAGACTAATTTGTGTGCAACATGGAACATGTGTCTATTTTTTAAAAATTAGACATGTAGAACCTCCATATCTAAGTAGAAAAGTTCTAATTTGGGGTCACAAAGATTTCCAAGAGAAGACTTTTATGAAATATCTTAACTGTGAAATATATAAACATTAAGAACAATAAAGAAAAGAAACCCGACACATTAAGAATGAGGAATGGATAAGCCAGAAACATTTCCTTTCCAATGTTTATCAACAGACAATTACTTTATAATTTAGAGAAAACCCTGAACTACATATACCTGTTCACGTAAACAATGGCTTGTGGCAAGCAAGCTGAGGAATTTAGAGATGATATATGTCAAAGGTAAAAACACAGTTTTTTTTCAAGCAGGAAAAAAATGGATTACATGATAATGTTCTACTTCAATATCTTTGCGGCTCTCTTGCCAAAGGACTGATGCATATTTAATCACTTTATCTAATGGATATTATCTCTCAAGTCACAGTTCCCCATTAGGGAAGCTCTTGCTCTGGCTCAGTGGGGCACTCTGATTACATTTCCTGACTTTGTGGTTTCAGAAAAGCCAAACTGGTGGAGAATTCCCTGACTGATCCATTGGCTTTTGCTATGAGCAGGAGAATAGGACAAGATCATCCAAGTCATTAGGCTTGGGGGTTGAATTTGTGGATTCATCATATCTGAACCTTTAGCGACAGGTACCCAAATGATTAATTGTAATGATCATGAACATATTTTTTAAAGAAATAAAATAGTCTTATCTTTCTGGATTAGAATGGGAACAAATCTTACTCTGGAGTTATGAATACTTACTGTGAAGCTAAATATCAAAATTCCTAATACCACTCTAGACTATTTTCATATACCAAATAATGCAATGGTTCTTGAGAATTTTTAAAGTTCCAAAACAGTGTAATACAATGCTTATTATTGCAAAATACAATAAAAAGAATACCGTAAAACATCTAAGAGAGTTAGGCTATACCATGAATAGTGTTTCCCACTCTCTTGCTTTGCTGCATATTCTTAAGAATATTCTTAAAGACAAAAGTACAATGTTGAAACTATATTTAGCATCTCTAGAATATAACACCTAAACCTGCAAAATGGAAACAATCCCATTAACTTGAAATATCAACGTTTTCCTATTGTATTTTGAATGAAGTGAGGAGTTACATAGCCTTACTTGATAGCATTGTATATGTTTATTGAGTACATTACATTTTGAAGTATGCATACATTATGAAATTATTAAATGTAACTAATTGACAAATGTATTACCTCAAAGTTACTGTTTTTGTGATGAGAGTACTTAACATCCCTTGACTTTGCATTTAAAAGAGAATACCATATAATGCCAGTAACTACAGTCATCTTGCCCAGCAGTCATTTGTAATTTATTCTTCCTAGCTAATGGTAATAACCTATGGTTTGATCTCCATCTCCCCATCATTCCTCCTTAAATCACCATACTCTGGTAACTAGCACTCTACTCTCTCCATCTATGAGGTCAGCTTTTTAAGATTCTGCAGGTGTGAGATAATGCAACATTTATGCTTCTGTACCTAGCTTATTTTACTTAACAGAATATTTTCAGGCCGGTGATTTAGTTCAGTGCTTCCTCCTCATGCCTCACAAGCTCAAGGTCTCAAGTTCAATCCCTGGTACCAAAAACAAAACAAAACAAAAAGAATATTCTCCAAGTTCACTCATCTTGTCTCAAGTGACAGGGCCTGAACTTTTTTAAGATTAAATAATGTTCCACTGTTATATTATACATACCATATTTTCACGATCAGTTCATACATAAAAGCACATCAAGACTGATTTCCTATCTTGATTATTGTAAATAATTCTTTAGTAATTCTGTAGATAGCTTTTCAATATCCTGATTTCCTTTGAAAATGTATCAGAAGTGGTGCTGGCAGATCATATGGTCATTCTATTTTTAATATATGGAGGAACCTCCATTTTTTTCCCACAATGGTTTTTCTTAATTCACATTCCCATAAACATTATGTAAAGGTTCTCTTTTCTCTTTATTTTATCTTTAATACCTCTTTATGGTTTTGGTTTGAATGTCCCTGATGACTAGTGAGAGAGCATTTATCATGTTTTTGTTGTGCATGGCCTTAACATTCTAATAGAAAATTTATAATAAATTCATACAGACTTAATGATGCCTCTTTAAAGATTGTTCCACTCCACAAATATTTAAATGATCATTATATACATTCCTTTGCTGTGACACATGAAATAAAGCATGCAAAATGTGATCTAAATAATAAGTAAAGTTAAAATATGAAACACCATTTCAAATTGATGATGGTGGCAAATTAAAAAAATTAACCTATAATAACAGAATACAGCAAGACTGAAACTAAGAAACTGAACAATGTATGGATTTTCATAGGAGTAAGTCATATTTAGAAAAGCAATCCTCAGTCACAAAATATTTATCATTAATTAAATATATATCTTGCTTTTATTGAATACATATTAATGAGAAATTTGATGAATTGATTTTGAATATTCTGCTTCAAATCTGTTAATTTTTCTGTTTAGTTACAATCACCTTATAGAATGTTCTCCTATATACTGATTGAGATATTTCCCCTCAGTAATTATAAAACTATATTGAGGTTTTCATGTTAGTCAAATTGAAAATTGACAAAAAAGAGTTCATGATCTAATAGTCTATTTCAAGAATATGAACACTCCCCTGAATGGGGTTTCCTGGTCTCTGATGTTCTTTTCTGCTCTTTCAATTTTATGTTTTTCTCTTGAAAAACAAAGGTGCTATAAAATACTTTAAAATATGTTGTTGGCAATGACAAGACAATTTCAATCAAATTACATAATATTTGTTCAATGAACAGGCTTAGCAACAGGAACTTTAATGATTTTCATCTGATAAGAAAATCATTTGTAGCTGAGTTACAGCATAAACTGCCAAGTCTTCGGCTTGGTATAGAAGGCTTTTCCTAACCTGGGGTGCCAGCTTCTTCTCCTTCCCTATCTGAAATCTACATTCTAGCCTCATGGTTCTGTTTCCCCAAAGGGGGAGCCAGATGAGCCCTGGCATCTCATGATCCTTCCCTCTGTCCAAGCAGTTTTGGCTCCCTGAACACCTGATTTGTTGTCCAATGTTCAGTTCAATGCCTCCTGTATGAAGAGGTCCAACCCCTCACCTCTTTCCTTTCCTTAAATACAACCTGGACACTTCGTCCTTTTCCCTGCCCCCTCTGAATGAGCTCCCATCAGTTTCCTAAAGCACATTTTTATGCTAACTCTTGTTATGCCTCATTTCTCTCATCAGCCTGTCTTCTTCAACTAGATTTTAGCCTGCCTACACAAGTGAAATTTGCCTTGGGCATCTTTCCTCACCAAAGTGTAACATGAAGTTGTTACATGCTTAGTGAATTTAGACTGTGGAAGCTTCTCTTAACTCAAAGGACTGAAGATGCAATTTATCTGATTATGTTTCATTTAAGACAATGTATGTCTTACACTGAGTCGTTAGAACATTTTAATTATGACATTAAGAAATTCATTAGGATTTTACAATATGTGAGCATCTTCAAATACTTATATCATTCAACATACATCAGAAACATTGTCTTCTGTTTCTAACACTCTTAATGTTTTTCCTTCATTTAGGACATTCACAAAACAAAGCAGTTCTTAACCTCATATGTAGACAGATGTGTGCAGGAAAAGTAAAGTTTCTACCACTATAAGGTGGCTGTGGTGGCAGATGCCTGGGAGGATGAAATGGGCGGATCATGAGTTTGAAGCCAGTCTGGAATACATAATGACACCCTTTCTAAAAACCCCCAACCAAACAAATATAAATTAAAACAAAAATAAAGTTAAAAATGTTCTACTGACATAAAACACCAAAATAAAAAATGCTCTCTACTTGGGTTTAAAGTAGTTTTCTTCCAACCCTAAACAGTCCAAAAGCTTAATCAAATGGCCAAGAAAGGGGACACAGACACTACCTAATTATGCTTTAAAATTCTTTAATGTGCATTACACTGGTTATAGCAAAAGTTAAAAAATCTATCGAGCATGTTTCTCCATTTTTACCATGGCTTAAGAACTTAAAGATTATAAATCTTGTATTTGAAACATGTTTGATTGAAAAATAGCAAATGTTTGATAAATTATACAATTGCTTTTTAAATGTAGACATAACATAACTGCTAATGAATCCTAATTTAAATTTTGACATCAAATAATGTAGCTTAAAGTCTGTATGCAAAAAAAAAAAACAGAGGCAAATTATGAAGAAGAGTTTATCCATGAATCCAAGATTTCACTCTTTTCATATAGTCATGTATGATTGAATATTAAAAAAGCAACTTTTCATTGATATAATATTTGGAAAATACTGAAAATTACAAAACTTAAAAGTAAACTATTCAGATAAAATTACTTCTGATACTTTAAGATGCTTAATTTTCATATATATATTATATATTGTGTGTGCATATACAAAATGCTGTCTGAAAAGACTGTAAAATTTGATATTCTTTCCAGAAATGTGTGAGCTTGTATTTTTTCTCCGAACTAAAAAAATAACAAGTCCTGTTGAAATGTGTTCTAATTTGATGGGGAAAAAATTAATGTTCATTCTTTGGAACATTTCTAGGGCTTTTGTTTTTTGTAAGTCTATTCTCTTGGTCTGGGTTAGGAAATCCTTTTAATTCTAGGATATCACTATCTTTTCACAAAAAGTTATTTGTCTTTCTTCCCTTTCTTCTTTTTTTCCCCCTTTGGCAACTTTAAATTTTTGTCTTTGATGAAGCTTGTTTTTGAAAATGAATAGAAATACATAGCTACCGTTTAAAGGAATTATGCAGTTACATTATAATTAAAATACCCATATTTTGTGCACGTATTTTTTTTTATG